TCAGTTTCATGCTCATTGCTTCAGTGATGCTATCTAACCATCTCATCCTCTGCCATCCAAGTCAAGAGCTTTAATCTCTATTCCACAATGGCTCTCAATTAATATTTAGTCCAAATAATAAGTGAAGATGTTTCTCTATAAGCTGTTCAGTATGTGGTGGCCTTCCAGAAGTAAAAGTCAATACCATAACATATACACGTGCTCACTGTGCCCTTGTATATAAGTCAAATTGGGATTTGTTGGGAAGAAGCAGCAGTATTTTATTAGAATTTCAGGAACAGTAGGTGGAATGGATAAGGACAAACCTGAAGGACTCTATTGAGGCAATTATCTTAGGAGCTGCTCATGAAATTTCTTCATTAAATTACTACACTTTAAAAACATAATTAGCTAGTTCTTACACCTCCTTTAAAACTCAAGTCATAAGAATGCTTACTTGGAAGTAAACACTGAATTCAAATGGATTTGTTTCTTTGTACTTACCCCTGTGAATACTGTATACCTGGTTCTTACACTATATTATGCTTTGGTTAGAGGAGTCAACTACCCAAATGTGTTTAGCAAGGCATTTTCCCTTATTACGGAAGTTATTGTTTATACTGGACAAAAATCTTATATAAAGCAAAGATCTTAAAAACAACATTTTATTTTCTGAAATTCTTTAGATGTGCAGTAGATTTGGGGGACACCCCATACATACATTAGCTAGCCCATTATGTACAACAGTGAAATTCATATGACAATCCAGTGTCTTGTGTTTTGTTATGCTCCATTTTTAAATAATGCTTATTTTTCACACACATGCACATTTAGAATATGTAAAAAATGGATGGCAACTTTTGGATGAATGGCAGCCATACTTAACAGTTTTGGGAGCAGCAGATAGGGTGCTAGAATGAAGTGGTGGGGCTACATCACGCAGATGAGCAGGGCAAGAATTTCCAGTTTTCTCCTGTGGTTGCAAGGGGAAATTCTTTGTTTTTAAAACTATGGTAAGCTGAATGAATATTTGATTCAGACATTCATTATGAAGGCGATTTGAGTCAACTCCCCTTTTCAAATCAAATCTTCAGTTCCACATGTTAAATTGAATGGGGTGTCTTTGAATGCATATGCTTTTTTGTGTGTGCATACATAAATGCACATTTTGACAAATTGAATCAACAATTCAAAGTGAAAATCAGGAAGGCAATAGCTTTGAGAATCATTGTTTTAAATGTTGACCATTTTGACTCGGTCTTACTGGGACTGAGCAGCAGTCGTGGTTTTATAAATTCAGCTCCTGCAATCCTAAATTACAGAATTTTGGCAAACTCTGAATCTGGTGCAACAACTGGGAAGGCCATATAAAATTATTCTACAGCTTAAGCTATGAGATTTCAACTTCTGCCTGAGGAAATACCCCCAGCAGTTTGTTCACTTGTTAAAAGACTCTAACTTTCCTCTCTATTTCTGAATTAAGCTGTGGTGACAAGGTAAGTTTGACACAACTGGGTTTGGAGGTAGGGTGGGTTTTTAGGTGCTGTGCTATCATGGCAAAGATGTAAAACCTATGCACCCATCCCTTCCCAAAGCCTGGGGTCTATGTCCCCACAGTCCATTCAAAAATTGCTATTGAAATGTGATTTTTAATATTACAGAAAGGGAACATTATTATATACTTAGGAATCATACTAAGATTATTCTAAGCTGTCCTTTAGGTTCCTAGTTGGGCGTGCCTCAACAAAGGCATAAACTAGAAGGAATATCTTTAGCACCTACAATAGACTCTTTTCAAGTAGACTATTTCTCATTTCAAAAATTATACCCAGGATTAAATAACAACTGCATAAAGCAGTGTCTCTGAATAAAGCGTATACAGTGTGAATAAACCATATACCCATCTTGCAAGCATGTGAGACATGATCACTGGTCT